TGATGGATGAGAGTGATCTGCTTTTATGGTTGGCGATAACTGACTAATTTTAATTTGATTCTGTTTGAAAGTCGACTCAAGGAATGTAGGAGGCGATTTTATGGTTATTTTGAGGTTATGTTGATGATTTTGAGGTTATGTGGCAAAGTTTTGAGGTTAGGATACCAAATTTTAGAGGTTTTATTTCTTAAATTTGAGGTTATGGAACAGACTTTTGAGGTTAGGTTACTTAATTTTGAGATTATGTAACTTAACTTTGAGGTTATGTTAATAATTTTGAGGTTAGAGTTATAATTTTGAGGTAAAAGTTCAAAGTTTCGAGGTTATGTTGCAAAGTTTTGAGGTTAGAATGCCAAATTTTAAAGTTAAGATACCGAATTTTGAGGTTATGTAACAGCATCTTATGGTTATGTTTTCGAAATTTTAGGTTATGTTACCAAATTATTAACTTTAATTTTCTGTGCTTCCCGGTTTCAGTTTTAACAACCCCATCCCACTCTCACATCAATTCAATCTCCAGATGATGGACATAAGTTCATCACTGCTTACTTGACTTTACAATGCGCGACGCGTGACAATCGTTCTTCTTCTTCTGACTCCAACAGAAGCTAAAAAACCCCTTTCAAATTTTATTTTATATTTATTGCATTCATCAAAGAAGAGAAAATATTTTTAAGGGATATTGCCGCGTACACTTCTTATAGTCCCATCCGGTTATATAATTCTTTTTTCGTTCTTCAAAGCCATCCACACGTCTTACCACTTCTACATAGAATAGACTTGTCTCAGGAATGAAAGGTAGAGAATGAATAAATTTTTATATCCTCACATTCAATTAAAAAAAATCTCCTCTTTGTCTTGACAAAGTAAAGGCGAAATGTGAATGAAAAATAGAGGAAGGGACATGATGCATCAAATTAACATAAGTACGATGAACACGAGCTAAAAAAAGATAATGAAATAAATTCTTTTTGACCCTACTTATTGTCGTGAATGCACGTATCTACATTATAATGTATAAAAAAAATTATTGTCTTTTGTTATTTGAAATACTCGAGAAAAAAAATTAAAATTAAAGTTCGGCGGAACGGATTTTTGATGAATTTTGATGGACAATGAGGAAGGGTTCAAGGGATGGGTGACTAAAATTAGAATTTATAAGAATTTTAAATGTTTAAAGTTAAAAAAATTAAAATTTTAAAAACTTTAAAATACTGAAATTTTCAAAAATTTAAAAAAGTGAAATTTTAAAAATTTAAAAAAGTCAAATTTCAAAATTTTAAAAGAGTGAAAATTAAAAACTTCAAAAAAGTGAAATTTCAAAAATTTGAAAAAAGTGAAATTTTATAAACTTTAAAAAAGTGAAATTTCAAAAATTTAAAATAGTGAAATTTTAAAAACTTCAAAAAAGTGAAATTTCAAAAATTTGAAAAAAGTGAAATTTTATAAACTTTAAAAAAGTGAAATTTCAAAAATTTAAAATAGTGAAATTTTAAAAACTTTAAAAAAGTGAAATTTCAAAAATTTAAAAAACTTAAAAAAGTGAATTTTCAAAAGTTTAAAAAATTCAAAAAAGGGAAATTTCAAAAAATAAAATTTTAAAAATCCAAAAAAGAAAAATTGATATTTTTTTAAAACTTTAAAATATTGAAATGTAAAAAAGTTTGAAATTTGAAATATGAAAAACTAAAATTGCTTAAAAAATAAATTTAAATTTTTTGAAATATTAAAAACATTTAAAATCAATTCCATCTCACAACTTGTAATTCCTAGTACCCATCCCTAGCCTGCAACTCCTTTTTATGTCAAAGATGAAAGGCATTTTTCAAAAAGCATTAGATGAGGGCTGCTTCCTTGTTCCCATACATTCATAATGTATTTTTTAAAACTGCGTCCGCGAGACCTTTTTTAAAAAAAATTTAAAAAACATTTCCGATGCATCCGGTCATGCGTGATAAATGCAGTAAATTATTTTTTTAAATTCTTTCTCTATTCACCACGTTCATCTCCCCGCATATATCCTAACAACTGCAATAATAATAATCATTGAAAAGCGATGGGAATTGAAAGGATATAAAATCAGTATTATTGTTATGTGCGATGTGGTTTAATTAATAATTTAACCAAAAAAAAGAAACTTTTTTAAAAAAATTTTTAACACAATGGCATTATAGACCGCCAAATGATTTTTTATGCTGTACTGTAGCAGAAATTTAATTGCAATTAGAGCAAACTGATATCGTACATCCGATGAATGCTTGAATGGATGGAATATGAGGGACGAAATAGAAAAGAGAAATTGTTATTAAAAATTGTCAATAATATGGAATTTTTTCTTCCTCGAAGTTAGCGTACATGCTGAATATTTTTTTTTTATTTTGTGCATTATAGGGGAAAATTATGTTGGATTGATATTGGACGGTGACCGAAAAGAATAAAGAGATTGAGACTTTTTTGTGTGGCATTGTTAAACAACAGATTATAAATTTTCGTGATTCTTTCTGCATGTGGTTAGGACTGTGTGGTGGCAAGTTGTTGGGATTATCTTGAAAAATTTGATTATTTTGGAAGCAACAAGGGAATTTAGGGAATATTTTGATTTTTAAAGTTTTTAACGGGTTTCTGAAGTTTGAATTCTAACGGTTCTCTGAAGTTTGAATTTCATTGTTTTTCTGAAGTTTGAATTTTACCTGTTTTTTTTAAGTTTAAATTTCAACGGCTTTGTAAAGTTTGAATTTTTTTATTTCCATCAAAATTCATCCAACAGTTTTAAAAAATTTCAAATTTCAAAAGTTCGTTAAGCTTCAAATATTTTTTAACCGTTAAAATTTCAATTATTTTTTGACGTTTGAATTTTTATTCTTCAAAATTCAAAACTATCCTCAACATTTCATCCACAAACAGTAGCAACAATCAATAATCATCCCTTAAAATAGCCTGTTTCTGTGGTTATTTTACCGACTTTAAAAATCTTTTAACTTTTCGCAATTTTTTTATTATTTTTAAAGACCACAAAAAAATATGTGTGCAGAACAGCAGACAACATATTGTGTAAACGATTAGCACCCTCAGATTTCCTTGTCTTCTTTGCCGAGGATAATTTAAAATCCAAAGAGACAAGGCCAATTACACGAACAATTTTTCTTTAAAAAAATATATATTTTGTGGGTGGAAGTACATCACATAAGAAGCAGCCGCAACTCATATCTCGGGTGCAATAATAAAAATGAGGCAGTATGATGCATGTTTCGTAAGATATTGTCAATATTTCATTCTCACTGTATTTTTTTTTATGTACACCAGATGATGTTACTTTATTTTACCGCGTACACAGGATGTACGCGCATTTTACATAGACGAAAATAAAAAAAAATGTCACACGCGGAAAGTTTCCATTGCCATCGGACGAAAAGCTACTGATAGCCTCATAATCTGCACATGGTCTTTTCACTTTAGTTTAACATTTTTTTATGCTACATGATTTTTTTCTTCTATCCATCGCATTCAATAGAGGACGATATGAACATATATGATGCCACTGCTACTGCTGCTTCAATTCTCATTTTTTTTTACTCTTGCATGCAAAAAAGCGATGATGAACGTTTTAGAATACAAATGAATATGAAAAGCACCAAAAGAACATAGAAAAAAATGGAAACGCGCAGCATATGGTGGTTCCATATTTATAAATTTTCATATTTGCATTTTATTGTATATTTACATGGCTTTTTACAAAATTGAGCGCACATGAGTGAAGAAAATGAACGAAGATGCGATGATAGAGAATGAAGATGAGGCTGGATTGGATGGGGTGTGGGGAACAAAAGGAGATTGTTAAGGTTCGTTATCATTGAATGTTGTGGTTCCTATGTGATGGTTTTGTGTCTGAAGTATTTTGAGGAACTTTTAAAAATTTAACGGTAGAATTATATTTGAATTTTCAAAATTTAACTGTCAAATTTGATTTCAATTTTCCAAAAGAAATAAGGGCGAAATAAAATTTAAATTGAATTTTTCTGTTACAAAAATTCAAAATATAACGGTTAAAAAAAATTTAAATTTCAAAAATAAAATACTGTTAAACCTCAACAATCCCCTCAGATTCCCAACAAGGCATCCTCATTTCCATATATATTCATAAAAAGAATTGGCACATTCCTGGTCATTCACTTTCATTTCATAACAAGATGTTCCAATCTCATTTCATATTCCACATCCATACTTTGCATACAGTAGCAATATTGCAGCCACCGGAGAGGATATTATAAAAAAATGAGACAAGAAGAATTGAAAGAAATTTACATGAATTTTTAATTGTGAAAATGTCCATGTCCATCAAGTTGCATCTATTCAATGTCACTTTTTGAATAGAGTGAATAATGATGCAGGACATGGGACATTAAAAGGTGATTATCTCTATGCTTTGTGTGGATGCTCATTGTCGCTTCTGGACATTCAACCCCTTTCTTTTTCATCTCGAGTCACTTTAGTTTTTGTACCTTTTTAACATTGAATGCTAGGATGATAGCTTGTTAAGTTTGAAGAATGTTTTTACGGTTTAAAAATAACGACCTTTTGAGCTTTAAGATTTGAATTTTTGAGATTTAAAAAATAACGGCTTTCAAAAATTTTAAAAGCATCAAATTTTTGTGAGTGCTCGGAAATTCAAAATAATTTCTAACGGTTAAAAACTCGATTCAGAAGATAGACCAATATTGAAAAGTATAGCGCATTCAGAATTGCAGCAGCAATTAAAACGAGAAAAATCTCCTGAAAAATTAATGCTCTGCTTATGCTGGACATTCGAAAGTCATCAAGCATGCATGCAATTATGCATGTGACTGTTTATCGATTTTTTTGTTCTTACTTCTTCCCTCTACTTCTACATGTTCAACCCCTCGTTTTTGCATACCATACATATCGTCGTCGTCGTCATGTCACAAGATAACAGAATCAACTCATGAAATTATACTTGAAAAATAAAATAAAACAGAACTTACCACTATTTGTTGTATTTGATTCAGCATCAACAACATCAGCACGTAATCTCTTGAGTGGCGGTAATGAATGAAAGTCATCATCCGGACACAAGCTGGCATCATTGAGACGCTCTTGCTTGATTTCGACACTATCGCGATTCTTATTGTCTACAACATTATCTTTACAATCTAATGATGGTGTGGCGCTGCTAGGTCGCTTAGATCCCATGTCATTGTCTGTTAATGATAAGTAGAAATGTTACTTTAGTGACTGCAAATGACATTTTGAATAGTGCAACTTACCTTCGGAGAGTCTTTTTGGTGTACTCGTTGATCCATCTTCGAGTAGATGACTTGATGGGCTTGTAAGTGGTGGTGAATGAACGCGTGAAACACTCGATTTACGAGATATTGGCGCTGATATTGAAGGTCGTCGTGAATTTGCTAGACTTAATGGGCGTCCATCATCTGAATCTCTATCACCCGTTGCGCCTGTTAATTTAATTTTGGATTATTGTAAGTAACAAATTTATCAATTTCTATGAAATCTTGACTCACCTTGTGTGTAGCATTGTCCATAATTCTCTTTATTGCATTGTAACACTTTGTGTTGGATGAATTTTACAATTTCGGCGAGTGCGAATGTTTTCTGACATGAACCGCACGTTAAAATGTCGTGTGATGGCTGTTCTCCTTCTCCTGCGTCAGAATCTGCTGTGAAAAATTGATAAAAAGATTTTCGAGATTAATATTTTGCTTGAATTTATTGATTTTGTAGGTTTTTTGAACCCAAAGTTCAAATTTTGAACTTTTTTGAACTTAAAGTTCAAAATTTGAACTTAAAGTTAAAAATTTGTTTTATAAAAAATTGTTAAAGAAATTTTAAATTTTAGAAAATTATTGAAAATTCAAATTTGAAAAAGCCGTTATATCAAGCGTCGTAAAATTCAATACCACATCCAATAAACTAGCTACTCACACCCAAAAACAGTCTAAAAATAAAAATATCCCTTAAATCTCCATCTCACTATGACACTTTTATTACCGCACAGAGCACTTATCCAAACCGTAATGTCTCTAAGTGTCACTTCCTTCTCACCATACTTTCACATTTGAAGGAAACAAATTGCTTTTAATTATACGAAATGTGTCGCAATTGACCATTAAGAAGCTCGTGTAACTCATGGCTGTTATTGGATTCTAGTGCAGATTAAGTCCATAATTTCTGCCGTTCCTTTTTCATTATAATTCAAGTGGGATAATAAAAATTTCTTGTGCGCGTCCTTAAAATTGTATGAAATCGTAAGGAAATGGCAAATGAAATTATTGATATTTCTGGATATGCAGTCTTCTTCCCCTTCTTATGCATATTTATAGCCGTATATTGTAGATGAATACGCACTTTATTAGAAATCTGTTTGAACTTAATTGACGTTCCAGCATTGGATTTTGTGTAAATTATTACTGATTTATGTAAATTACTTTCTCTTTTTATATCCACATCCACTACATTATTGAGAATGAGGCAATTGTGGACCCCGAAGAAAACGGAAAATCAATAAGCTAATCTTCGATGATTTCAGAAAGGCAATGGGAATGAGGAAAGAAGAAGCAAAATGATGGTAAAGTAGTGAAATAGACGTTCGATGTCCCAAAACGTGACCTTTTGAATAAATGTCCTCCGTTGGTTCACAATCACATAATAAACACGGTTAATTTGATTTTCCGATCTCAAAGCAGACCTTCTTCAGCATAGGAAAGATTACAGATTCTCTCCGTGATGAAAATCTGGGTGAAATTCATATATACAATGGAGAGGAAAGGAAAAAAAATTCCGATCAATGGACTAGCTGAATGGATGGATGGAGGGAAAAAAAGTTTCGTGTAATCAAGAATTATGTCACTCATTCCACTGCTTGCTTGCCCTTAAGCGAATATTTATCCTTTTTATGTTTGTAACAAGAATATATTTTGACGAAGCAGTTTTGTAGTTTTTTAAGGTGGTTGGGGTTGTTTTAAAAGGTTAAATTGTCTCATAACTTTTCAATAATTGGCTGAATTAGCCTCAAACCTTTTGAATTGGACGCTTGCCACTCTTTTGATTGATAAAAATGTCAGTTGTGGCTGTAAAAGCATCAAATTTCTTTAAAATTTGAGAAAAACTTTTCGAGGTGGAAACCACGTGTTTTTAAGAAAAATTTGAATTTTATGGGACCGTTAAAATTTCAAAATTGCGCTATAAAATCAAATTTCATACTTTATTGTCATTGCTCTATCGGTCCTTCACACATCCAAAGACAAAATGACATATGAGTCACAGAACATTCAACGGACGAGATTAATCAACAGAAAAAAAAAAAATATTTCTTATCACACCAAAACTATCGGAACTGTAATTTGATAAATGAATAACAATTGGGAATATCCATTGTTCCATATCCACAAAATATATTGCATAAAACATCAACAAAGACACATCTCATGGGCTCTCGGGCGATGTTTATCGATGCTATTTGTTCTCCCGCTTTTGTTTTCTTTGTCTCAGGGACTTGCCAACTCTACGTAATGATGATGAACTGAATTTCTTTCTTTTTTTTTTGTTGTTGCCTTTGTTTGTATTTCGATGTCCTTCCACCCCAGATGAAGGAATTCAGTCGATTATGTCGATAGGGATTAAGGATATTTCGTATTGGGAAGTTGCGTCAAATTTATTGAATTAATAAATTAGACTCCTTTAGCTGACAATAATCCCTTCGAGCCAATAATTTTTTTTTTGGCATCAGAAGTCACAGTAAAGCAAATGACCAAATGCTCTTTGGGAAAATTGGAAAAAAGGATTAATTTTTTTTTGTTGACTGAAGAATTTCTCGTTCTCAATAATTTTTATTAATTTTCGCGGTGCGTCAAACGAACAAATTCAACCCCTTATTTTTGCATAAAATGCATTTTTCAGCTTTGCTGCCTTTCCAAATGCAAACATAAAGAAATAATTTTTTTTTATTACAAGTGGTAAGCGACATAAAATAAATGTCAAAGTACTTGAGTACTTGAAAGGCAAAATCGTTGAATATACGAGCAGCATTTGTAATTTCGTGGGATATTGGAAGCTGCACAGAATCTTTTATTAGTTTCCTGTGCAAAATAAATTTATGAGAATTGAAGGAATTAGGAGAATTTCTCGTCATATTCAACAGTTTTTATTGTTTTTAATAATATGCTGACTTGACTGACTCTCTTTGGCGGTGATTTTTTTTTGCTTTTTGTGTACTTTTGTGATTGTTTTTTGGGAAGTTTTTGAAGTCATTTGATTATGTGAATTTTTGCAAATGTTTTACTTGGGTTTGAGGTTGTTGTTGGGAATGAGATAGAGGAGATTTGAGGAGTAATTTGGTGATTTTTGCATAAACATTTAAAAATTGAAATTTTCAAGGTAAGAATTCATTTTTAGGTTATAACTTTGAAAATATGGATTTTTAGGTTAGATCTATGAAAATTTGAATTTTTGAGGGTAAAATTTCAAATTTTTAAGGTTGGAATTTTGAATTTCTAGGTTAGAATTTTGAAACATTTAAATTTTTAGGTTAGAATTTGGAACTTTTGAATTTTTAAGGTTAGAATTTCGAAGTATTTGATTTTTTAGGCTAGAACTTTGAAAATTCGAATTTTTAGGTTAGATCTATGAAAATTTAAAATTTTAAGGTTAGAATTTCGAAACATTTGAATTTTTAAGGTTAGAATTTAAAACTCAAAATAGGTTCCTAATTGTGACCAGGATAGATTACATACCAATAGTAATCTTAAAACTCCACCCCTACCATTCAAACAATTACTTAAGCAGCCATTAAATCCACTTCCCAAACCCCTGATCACCATCAAATAATCCATAAGAACTCCCAAATCTCCCATCTCATCCATATATCACTCATGTCCACATACAAATATTAATCTCTCGAAACAAGATAACCATAAGAGGCATAAAGACAAGAAGCAAGAAATTTATGACAATTTAATTGCACAGCATCGAAAGAGATTAAGTCGAATTGAGGGCGTCGAAGGAGGATGGAAAAAAAATTGTAATAAATTGCCATTTGTTATTAATAAAAACATATTTTCAGATCTGTCGATAAAGAAAAAGAGAAAATTGTTGAAGATTTATTTCCATAAATCCTTAAAGGACATAACATGTCTGGCAATGAATAATAAGTGTGAGAGAGGCATGGCTGTCAATATAAGGGTTGAAATTAGCCTTTTATTAAAATATTTTCATTCTCGGCTATTTTAGGTCCATGGCATCTGTCATAAAAATGAAATATCAGCACTGGTTTGTAAAGGAAGCCTTTTTCGATTATTTGTTGAATTGGAAATAAAAACGGAAAATCAACATCTGGCTTACAATGGCAGGCAGTGACTCTCCGCTCTAATTTCTTTCTTTCTTTTTTTTTGATAAATTATTTTTTATTTCTGTGTGACTGCTGTGGCTGCTGCTGAATTTAAAATGACTTTTTGATTCCAATTTCTCGTCCACACAAAACTGCATCGAATTGGAACTAATGTACTGCTACAGATTGGTTATGTCGTCACAGCAGGACGTTTATCGGTCAATCCGTTTCCCTCCCATCACATACATGTATCGACGAATAGCTTTAAATGCTTTACTAAAAATACTGACCATCACAATCACCATTGGTCAAGGCATGCGCGTCACACAAGGACATTTGTCAATGAGCACATATGAGTGGAGAGAATGAGGATAAAAAGGAATACAGAATAAAAATGGAAAACGCCCTTTTCGTGTGTTTTTTTTTTCTTCTACAAACTGTCGAAGGACGAAAGGAAAAGAAAAAAAAGTACGAAAGGAATGGATAACTACCTCATATATATGAAATGGATATTGATTTTTTCACATACATGTGAATGTCTGTATATCCGTTGGTTCTTCATATCTCTATACATGAAGGAAAGAAAATAAAAAATAAAAATCTGAGTCTCGATGTTGGAGAATGGAGATATGTACTTAACATATTAATTTGTCGCAATTTTTATGACTCGATTTTCTTTTTTGTCCTGATCATCATCTCCACGAAATGAATGAATTTTTATGATTCCTTCAATATCTATTTTTCTTTTTGGAGCTTTTTACGACTTTGTTTTTGCACATGGATTACTTAAGCGCACACACAGCGATTTGCACATAAATTGGAATCCATTTCATCTTCGAGAATTCAGAAGGGCAATTGGCAATTGGATGGTTTGTGCTGTATTAAATGCTTTTTTTTCCCTTTCATGGAAATCTGTTTACGATTCCGAAAACTCATATCAAACTCAATTACCATCTCGAGTAATGGTACGCAGAACTAAAGAGCTGAGTTTGGAGATAAGCATCAATTGCTGATGTAATTGGAGCCAACGAAATCGTATTTGCCGTTATGTTCGATCGTAATCAACGAATGAACATATCAATTTATTATTTTACTACTTTTTTTTTGATAATAGACCGTAAGTATGCAGTAACAGAAATTAATTTTTAGCATGTTATTCTAGGGGATATATGCGCTTTATGAAAGTTTCGTTGAAATTTTGGAAGAGAAAATTGATTTGATTGATGCCTGCCACTTTTTTGAAGAGATTTACACTGAAAAATTTGAAGTTGAAAGCAATTTTCATTAAAATTTTGACAAAAAACTTTTCGAGGTGGAGAAAAAAATTCAAATCTCAAAAAACCGTTACAATTTGAAATATTTCAAAATTATTAATCTCTCATGGCTCAACATCATTTTTCCTTCGCGATATGTTTAACATTCACAGACCATTCTTGGCACTTTCCACAAAAATCATAAAAAATATTTTTTACAACTCGCATATAGTGCTCATAAAATTTCTCTCCCGACTGGTGCCATTAATATGATTTTTTTTTGTAGTTTCATTTTCTGATGAGTTTTTGGCAATTTGTATAGTAATTGAGAAATTACTGTCATTGCTGTTTGCTACAACATAAAATAATAATAATATCAACATTGAGAGAAAATTCACGCCACAAAAATGAGGAAAAGTGGGAAATTGCAATTTCGGCTGTAAGTGGAGAGAGTAGAGGAAATAAAAGTTAATTTTCCGTCATTCGCTCCTCTAATTGTAAACAATTTGAATAAATTAGCTCATTCTAGATGTGATAGTGAAATAGTTTATTGCGAAATTTTGTGGAAAAAGTTTTTTTTTCCTTCCCATAAATATCACGCATATCAATTACGTTATATTGACATATAAAAATAGGGAAAGGAAAACATAAAATAATAGAAATTGTCTTGATATAAAGTGTGGAACCGAGAAATACATCCATCTGTAAATAATCATAAGTCATTGAATTCTGATTCAATTTATTTATCATACATGAATATTTTCATGCATGTATATCCATCGCCCTTTTCATTCATGACCGCAACTTTTTCCGATAGATTCAGTAAATAAATTTGATTAGGATGAATGTGTAAATGATACTGTCGAATAGGACATTTGGCTTGTTTATTTATTTATATCCAATATATACTGTTACATCCTGGACAATTTGCAGGCATAAACATGATAAAAAATAATATTTATTCTTGAGAACTTTTTTTTATATTTTATTTTATCGCTGGAAGCGATTTATGCCTTGTATTTCATATTTTCCTGATTATTGAATGGTATTACATTGTGGGATGATAATGTTGTGGGATTAGGAAAATGGAAATTGTGGAAATTGCAGTTTATTGTTACAATAAGGTCAATTCTTTAGGGTTTCTGGTAAAACATTAAACATTTAACGATTTTTTGAAATTTGAATTAAAAAGATTTGAAAAAATTTCCACCTCGAAAAGTTTTTCGTCAAATTCTACTCCAATTCTCATAAATAACGAATGATAGGCATTAGAAATAATAGAAAATAGTGGCAAAAGCTTTACAAACCTCATTAGAACCAACAACTCAACATCAATAGTCAGTTATGAATCAAAAACTTATCTCAACTGCCAAATTTGAATGACAACAGTTCATAATCTAAACAAAGCCACAGTAAATATCAATAAATTCAGGGTGAATTGTGAATAAAATCCAAAAAGAAAGGCGTCAACAAAAAATTGATTGACCAGCATTTGCCCTGAAGCGGACTAGAAATAGATCCGAATTATTTCATCACATATTTCAATTTAAAATTCACCTCTTGTTATCACCAGCAAGTAAAAAAAAATCGGGGGGGAAATGGTGTCGCAATAAAACACGTTGTTATATTCTGTGAGAAATTGTCGAGTTTATCGTACAAGCCAGGAAAAAACAGTTTTTTAATCATAATGCAAATATTTGGATACTTTTTCCATTCGTAACTGTTATCACTTAGCTAGCATGTTAGCGGACATTCCGTACAGTTAATGTTCTGACTCAAATGTAAGCTAATATATCAGGCATGTTTAAATGCTTGGAAAATCCACTGTATTTCACAATATAAACGTTTTGTGTCAAACACAATCCCCGAAAACAAAATAAAGTCATTCGTTATCATTTCGAGGGCGACACACGAAAAAAAAATAGTAAAATAAAATAAAATTGTTAAGCAAACAAGAAATTAACACAATTTTATTTTTGGTCATAAAGTCAACAGACGATTGCGTATATGGAAATGATATGATCCAACCAACCCCAGTTGTATGATATCTCATACCTTATGACAAATGATAACTTATTTTTTTTTGTGAATTTTTCATTTCTTTATTGACTGAGCGTGTACACTGAAAAACTGGAACAAGGTAAATAGACAGTGGAATGTTTTAAGTTGCGCTTACTTCATCTCAGCGAGAAAATAATGTCAGTCTTCTTAAAACGTGTGTTTACAGTTCTATATCACCATCATTGTCGTCATACTGATCAGTATTTATTTATTAGTAGTCTGTATTGTCGGTTGCTATAGGAATTATTGAGAAATATTTTTTTTTGGGTAGGGAAGTGTGAGAATTATAAGATAATTTATGGGTGAGATTCTAATGAGCTTCAGAATTTATGGGATGATTTTTTTCGAAGGGATTTTTCATAAAAAAAATTTAATCAAAATTCATTGATTTTTACAATTTTTTAACCCCCCCCCCCTTTTATTCCATACCTAGTCTGGCAAACTATCTACCTAAATCCACTCCAAACCCCAACCAGATCTCCACAATTCCAATTCAAACCACTCCGCTGCACTTCCAACGTCAATAATTGTTCAATAGCAAGGACATTTTGTGGCATTTAATTTTCTATAAAATAAGACTTACGATTATATGAACTAAATCCAGCATCGTCGCTTGTCGAAAACATCTTTTATGCAAAATTAAATTGCACACATACACAATTGTCAACCACTAAATGTTCTTTACAGTTCTTCAATTTTGAACAAATTAAATTAAATGTCAAAAAGAGAATTTTTTTGTAATTTTAGTTCATTTGAGTTTTTAATTTTTTATATTTTTTTAAAATTTCAGATTTTTTCAATTTTATTTTTTTTTAAATTTCAACGTTTTTCTTTCAATTCATTTTTATTTTTAAATTTCAATATTTTTAAAAAAATTAATTTTCAACTTTTTTAATTAAATTTCCACTTTTTAAGTTAAATTTCAATTTTTTAAGTTAAAATTCAATTTTTTAAATTAAATTTCAATTTTTTTAAATTAATTCTTTAGTTCCGATTTAAAAAAATATATTATTATTTTTTTCAAAAAACTGTCTACACAGCAATTTCGATGTTGATCCTCCGATCGTCCGAATTGCACTAAACAGTTTTGAAGAAAAAAATATTTTTTGAGCCCTCAGAACTGTTCTCGGTCAGGATAGAAATCTCATTCAACGAGGGGTGACACGAAACAGAAGTAAAAAAAAACTATTTTTTTTTTTCTATGTAGAACGGAACCCCTCGATATGAATGAGAGAGAATGAAAGAAATGCAAAAAAAAATTAGGGCTCAGGTAAAGTTGATGATCGTAAAGGAAATTTCCTTGCAGGTAGACGATATGGTCCATACAGATTTTTTTTCTTGATCCTTTCTTTAAAAAAAAATATCTTCACGCACAATAAAGGGGATGGATAGACGAATGATGATGATTTTTTATGGGGTGCGTGATTATTTTTCATTATTAGAAACAATTTTTTTTTATTCAACGTACATTTGATATCCCTAACATTTCTTCTTCTTCCCCGTTGCCTTTTTTTTATTCCCTTTTGTCTTCTTCTTTTCTTAAGAAATCTTCCAAGTGGTAAAAAAAAATCTCACATAACGGTAGTTTTTTATGCATATGCATATCTCATGTACCCCTAAACAATTTTTTTTTCTCATCACAATCATTCGAGATGAAATTTATTATTATTTTAATTTTTTTTTGCTGCTTTCTTCCCATGATGAGGATATACGCATCTTTAATAATATGATCTTCATGAGAGTCTCAAATCAGACCGTATGTGTGCGTGTTTTAATAAAAAAAAAATCTGTTGCATAAGAAAATGTTTTTTTATTATATTAAAATTTATGCAATTTTATGTCGAACAAAAGAATTCATGAATATGACAAGGATGCAATTTACTGTTTTGTATGTAATTAGATTTATTCCTAAACATTGTATTAATGTATTTGAATAACTAGAAATGGGAATTAATTTAATATTTATTATTACTAGTTTCAATGAATGGAAATTATCGTCCACCTTTTTTTTTCTTCGTGGAATTGGAAGAATAAAATTGAGGAACCGGAAAGTTCTCGAATTACGGAGTGAATTTATAATTAAGAATTGAGAGAGATTTTGAAAATCAATTGAGGATTTTTTTTTCTGGCGGTTTAATTGAGGTTTTTTGGAGGATTTGAATGCTTCTTCAGACTTTCTTGGTTAATTGAAATTTAACAAAAAATTGTAAACATTTCTTTACTTAATCTTGAGTTTGAAATTCTAATTTATTTAGAATATTATATTTGTAAGGTTCGATATGAATGTCGTCCTAAATAAACGGTCATTTTCAAAAAAAGAACATTGGATTCCCAAGAAATTCAATTGTTCTTTTTCAGCTGACCCCCCTCCCCCACCTACCCCCATGGAAGTCATAAGCGAACAGTCGCTTAATATTCAAATAACATGATACATTTAGCAGACATTATGTCATTTTATCTTAATCATCATAAGTGTAAATTGATTAAAATATCAGATAACCAAAGGTTCAAATCTTAGATCTTAAATAGTTCATAATATAAATTATCATTTCGTTGACATTAATTTTTGCTTCTGCCATCTGAAAATCCCCAAACCTAATTGTTTTTTTTTTCCATCACCAAACCCAACTTCTTCATTATCAATCACCCTTCCCATTTCACCTTCAAAGAATTCCTATTAATGAATATAATTTTTTTCTGTGTCCTATAAATCACCATCCAATAACTCTTTTATGATCATTCATTATCATCATTCAAATTGAAAACAGCAATAAAAAAGTACACAAGAGAAAATGAAAAACAAGACAATGCCAAATGGCAATGCAATTAAGCCTGTTATGTTTATCGGAAAGTTTCCTTTGAAATTATGAAAAAAACGTGTGAGGTGGCACCACAATCGCTCTAATTATTCCATTAAAATTATTGTCAATTGTTTTGCTTTATAATAATAAAAAATAAAAAAAAAACTATATCTATGACAGCAATAAAGCGACAAGAACTTCAAAGGCCAAAAAGCGACCGAAATGCGACAAGAACATTAAATATGCCGATTGTCGATGTTTATTGATAGCAAATGGAAATTCATTGCTTATATTCACGAGCATATTTTTTTTTGCAGCATGAAGAACGCCCACATTTGTGTCTAATGATGGACATATGAATTACCTAAGACTCGATTGCTTTATTACTTTATTGTTTATTTTCATTTTCGATAATTTCTCTCTGCATGCCATCCAATTGTCCAAATTTGGAACGGCAAAACTAATTGCAGGACAAAAAGGGACTCGACAAGAAGATGAAGAAGACCCCAAAGAAAGAAGAAGGACTAATTAGCAAATTACTTTATGATCTGTTTATGAAAAATATTTGCTGTCGAAGTTTGTTTTCAAAATATTTTTGTGGTTTATGCTGAATAGGAATCCCACAGCTTTTCGGAGGCATGTTGCAATAAATGTTCCTTTCTTCTTGTTCCTTTGTTTCTCTCTGCCTGTTCCTTTATGTCTTTTTCGTGATGAGTTTATTTACTTGTTGTTTTATTTTTTGGCAAATCTCTTCTACCTTCCTTCTTCTTTTGTCTTATCTTGTAGCATTTTACGTAATAATTTTCAATTTTTGCTTTACTCATCTTTTTTGCTCGATTTTTGTAGGTCAGAAAAACATGAAGCATGATGAGATGGAGAAATTTTTTACAATAGGACAATAATTTAATGTTTTTGGAGATTAAGTTAGGAAGTTATTCAACTATTTGCTAATATTGCATGCACATTAGTTTCTTATTGGTGACAAAATTCAATTTTTCAAAAACATTCAATATTGTAAAAATTTAACAGTTTATTCAAATTTAAAATAAATTTTTCCAACATTTTGAATTTTTTCTCCACTTTGAAAAGTTTTTCTGCAATTATTCAACCTATTAAACATCTTTCGTATAGATTTTTAACAAATCTTACAGAAAAAAGTGGCAAAAGAAGATTACAAAAGATTTCAATCCAATAGCTGATTCCAATCATAAGAAATCTCAAAAATACTTAAAACCACGTGGACAATCCAACCAAAAAATCCCATCAAATCATTCAAAAATTATGCATCAAACATCATCAATCATATGTAACATAGAAGATGAAGCATAAAAACTGTCTTTCTCGTGAGACATGTAAGAGACATTGGATAATCGTCTTCTATTGTGAAAGTAACATTTGACCACTCGAGAAGAGATGCTCATTGTGTTGTATTCAAATTTATTTAAGCATTTTTTGAAGCAGAGCAACAGAGGAACAAGAAGAAGATGAATAAAGGCAAGAAAGTCATTATTCTTTCAGCTTTATGCCATTCGGATGGCTTTTGTCGGAACATTTAACTTTGTTTTGTAGATTTTTTCTCTGTTCTTCTCTCTGTGTCGTTGTTTTTTTGCTGTGCTGCTCAGAGAACTTCTTTATGCAAATTTCATTTCTGGCTTGGGAAAATTGCACTCATTATAAATGAGATTTAGCCGGCAACTGGCAAACTGGCAATGCAATGCATCATGCTGTGTGTATGGAGAGTCTTCAAGACATTATTCGCGTAGTTAGCATGCAATTTACTTCTCCTCGGACTACCAAGTCAATTCATTGAATGGATAAAGATGCGATAACAGCGATAATGGAACATTGATTCTTAATGCCGATTATTCTACTTACTCATTCTTATTATTATTAATATGAACGTAAATGAACATTAAATTGGCTTATCTGGTCACCCAAAGTAGCATAAAAGATCAAAGAAGAACAGCAAAAAAAATATATACACGAGAAGAAGTTAAATGGAAAATTTATAACTTAATTAAATGAATTTGATGTCACTAAATAGATTCGCTGATATGCGAGCAAAAGAGCAGCGCGACTTGTTATGTTGAATCGGCTCGATAATTTATTATGAAAATGTGAACAGAGAAATTGTGCAGTTTATCTATCCATCATTGAATTTAAAGGAGTAAATATATATAAAATATATTAAATCATTTTTTTACTGCAGATGCAAGTGCTGCAGATTCTTTGTTTGGAGGCTTAGGGGTTCTGAAAATACTGATTTTAAGGTTATGTTGGACATTTTTGAGGTTAAACACAAATTTTGAGGTTATGATGATACTAAATGCCTAGTTTAGAGGTTATGACGCTAATTTTAAGGTTAGCTTAGAACTTGCTATCTATATTTGAGGTTGTAATTGGAATTTTGAGGTAATGATAAGAAGTTTGAGGTTATGTCATAAATTTGTAGGTTAAACCTGAAATATTGAATGTTTTCCATTTATTAAGAGCTTCAGATGAAGTTAGAGTACCTAATTTGAGGTTATAAAAGAAATGTTGAGGTTATGTTTCAACCTAACCTCAAAAATTTCAATGCTGTTTCCAGAAGCACCACTCAAAAGCCCCTTACATCCAACTGCATACACCCATTCCATAAATAAATCCAGAAGCGTAATCAGATGAATGTATGAAAGCCTGTCTCTGCCATCCACTGCTGTTACTATATCACATTCTCGTAATCTTATAAAAAATATATATATTTATGTTAAGAGACAACAAACAGACCAGAATGAAATGAGGATGAGATGAAGAAGAACAGAAATAAAACAGAATGAGACAATGTC